AGCCTGGCTACAGTGCTGAAAAGAAACCTGGGCTTGTTCTTATTTTCCTCTATCATTGAGGAATAAAATGCGGTTCTGGCATTATGAAGGGCTTTCTTATATGTTATTAAACTATCTTTCCAGGCTATGAAAAACTCTTCTGACTTAGTGGAGTACCACCTCCTTTCCAGTTTTTATGATGCCTGCTTTAGGGAGCGGAGCTGCGAGCTGTACCACGGGGCCTCCTCTGTTTCACTACCTTCCTTTTCAGTGGGGCAACAGTATCAAGTGTTTACACAGGGAGGCAGCAGCACTATCAACAAGATTATTGACTTGTGTGGGAGTAAAGTTAAGGTGGCCTCTCTCCATTGTGTTGGTACATGACACTGAAGTAAATAATGATGGGAGTTAATTATGGCCATAGTAAGTCTGGGGCAGGTGAGTGTGGCATGAACAGGAAATGTCAAAATAAAAGCATGAATGGGGAAGGTGCTGCAGATCAGGACAATAAACCATGGTGGGGAGGTGAAGGAGAGAGAAATAAAAAACAGCACATATAACTGCACATCTGGTGATGTGCCAATCATAAAGACTGAGAGCTACTAACTCTACCTTTCTACAGATTCAAACTAAAACAGAGATGAATGAGTAGCTAGTGTGAAATAAAGTGTATCCAGGCTCCTTCACATTTTGTAAATGTTATCAGTTTAAAACACAACACAGTAAAGTGTGCAAAAAAGTAAGGTGTCTGAAGTTACTGTATGTTATTTTTTTTTAGCTCTCAGTCTGCAATAAAAATCGGTTGACTGTGTAACATGATTAGTAATATACATTTATGATTTAGTGTTTCAGTTACAGTAGACACTGCTGACAATCACAACTAGAACATCTCTCACTTGTAGAGTTCAGTGAGCTTTATGCAGTCTCTTGGATCAAATAGACGGAACCTAATCCTGCAGCAATGGATAATAACGTCAAATGATTTAAATAGGGGCTTCTTTCACTAGGGGCAAAGAAGAAAGTAAAGTCCTGTTTTTGTTTTCCTGATTCCCTCAAATCAAGAAATGAAGTTTCAGTGAATATAAGAAAGACATCAGCAGCATATATGAGGACCAACATTTACTGTGTGTTTTGTATTTTCAGACAGACTCACTGATACAATACCTAGGAAGGACAAACAGCATGCAGACTCAGCAGCAGTTAAAGGAAGAAGATGGACACCTGGTGACTTCAGCAGCATCTACAGCAAAGGTGGGAGCAGGTTATTCAGGTGTGGTGCATCTAATGGTCTGAAAGGGCAGGGGCACTGAAGGTAACGCATTTATCTTTGGCTGTATGGGGTTTTACATAGATCATGTTAACCACCCCAGTCAAGATGCTAATTGGTCAGACATGTTTGTCTTCTGGCCACTCCTGTCTTCTAGAAATTATGTCATTGCTATTATTAAAACATTTGAAAAACCTCTATGCTGAAAATAAATTCATAAATAGATCATATGCAATGAGAGCTCCTCTAAGACTTTTAATATCTATTGTTAATAAATCTTTGTTTTTAAGGTACTTTTTCATGATACTTATCAGTTTTGACTTTACTCAGAGTTCAGAGGTTTTAAGTGATATTTATGATTTGGCAATAAACTCACTTTTATCCAAATTCATGTTGTTTTATAAAGGCATGTGAAGGCTCAGTAAGTCAGATAGAATGTTTAATTAATTATTTTATCTCATCGGACAAAATGTGAAACTGTTTTAAGTTTGAGCTGACAACAGCCATTTAAGTGATTAGATTGTTATAATGTTATAGCGGTGGACAAGTGATTCATGAGCAATAAACAGAATTATAATATCTTTGTCACAAGTACAACAAAAACCGGCAGCACAACAATACTATAAAGAACAATAAATAGGAAAAAAATGTGAATAGAATGCAATAAGATAATATAAAAAAACAGCCTACATAATGACCACAGGAGTAAAATAATGCAACAGATCAGATCTGCAATGCACCAGCAAAACTAACAAGAACTGTTTAGTTTATTCTGGTGGCGCAGTGCAGTATATGATTGTGTGTGAGGTCAACTGTGGCAGAACTATGAGTAACTGAGCTGATCCAGAACAATTATGACTCTGGGGAAGAAGCTGCTTCTCCGGCTTGAGGTGCTGGTGTAGATGACCTCGTGATGCCTGCCATATGGAAGGAGAACAAACAGATGATGGCATGTCTGGCTGGTGTCAAGGTCAAAGTGTTTATTTGTCATATGCACAGTTAGGAAACGTGTTTCCCTGTACAATGAAATTCTTACTTTGTCGTCCACATGAATGCCACATAATACAAGTGAAATATAAAGTAGATGAGCAATAACACAAATCTAAATAGGCAGTAAAATCACAAATCTAAGGCACTTTAAAGCAGCAAGTTAAGGGAGCAAATAAAAATACGACAAGAACAATATAATGTCAACCTGTCCCTCAGACAGAGCATCGTCCCCACCTGCTTTAAGACCACAACCATCGTCCCCCTTCCCAAGAAGAGCCCGGTCACCTGCCTGAACGACTACAGGCCAGTGGCACTCACCCCAATCATTATGAAGTGTTTTGAGAGAGTGGTGCTGGCCCACATTCAGAGCAGTATACCGGGCACACTGGACCCCTTGCAGTATGCCTCCCGGCCCAACAAGGCCACCTCTGACGCCATCGCGGCTGGCCCC